GCCTTACCTCGGAAGGATCTGAAATTGGTTAGAAAATAATCGTAGTGGGCCTTTGATGAAGAAAAAATAACACAAAAATCAACCAAAAACAAAAGCCAGAGGAGATGACTCCTTTCCTGGGAGGATATGAATAATGTCTTAACAACCAAAATTAAACACAGGCAGCAGAATATCCACTAGCACCCATCTGATAACTAAAAAAATAGATTTTTTTAAATGCATGCACTGATTTTAAACTGCTTTGTTGTCTGTTGTTTGTTTGTTTGTTTTCTATTGTCTTGACAGGCATTACAAACCTATTAATAATATGAATATGATTGACTCTACAGATGCATTTTATAAATAATACAATGACTCAGTAACCCAGAAAAGAGTCATACCAGCTGACTCTGAATGTTTTTCCCCTTACAATATTTAGCTCTTTCCTATAACAGCTGATAAACCTTTTTTTAAGCCTTGACTCACTGTTTATTTCTTTATTGGTCATTGGCTGCAGACTTTAAACCCACATGCAAAAAATATGCACACTCGACTTATTTTGGAGATATCCAAGTAAGAATATTTGCAGTTTATCTTTAAATATAATACTTTCCTTAAATGCAATTTTACACAATAAAAAAAATCTATACAATTTTATGTATGGAATCTTATGAACTCTCACCAGAAAGGTACCTTTAAATTGTTAATTTGGAACAACTTGTGCTTCTTGGACTGAAGAACCTTTAGATAATTTTTTCTAAAAGAATGACTCCTCTTATATTAATTACAAATTAAGAGAATGATACAGAAAGGCCAACAAAGTTGATGTTTTTTTTCCTGATTTCAACTTGAGGCAACAAATCTGAATGAAAATGAAGGTCTTAGTAAAATGAGACTGTTGTAAGAACGCCACTATGTACCACATTTAGAGTCGTTCTTGGAAAGCTTTGTAAAAAAAAAAATAAAAAAAAAATTCTGACAGATTGAACAAAAAAGGCTGAAAAAAAGACGTCGATTTAACAGAATTTTTTTTATTATTTTTTTTTATTTATCCTTTATTTAACCAGGTAATACCCATTGAGATTAAAAATCTCTTTTGCAAGGGAGACCTGGCCAAGATAGGCATTAAAATGACATCACATCATTACATACGTACAAAGACACACACATAAAAGCCAAATATGCACTTACAATATAACAGAAATAACAGACAAACAGGAAAAGCTCAACAAGTGTACCACCAAGGCAGAGAGGATACTTTGGTTGTTAAGGTAGCCCCCAAAACCCTGCCTCATTTTGATAAAGGTATAATTTTGTCTCTGTTCCATTAACCTATGAGAAAGCAGAGGTTACAACAGCAGCCTGTAGACAGCGAAAGGTCAAGGGAAGTTATTGTTAGACCATGCAAAAAGCCATTCATTAACTAGAAGGGTGAACACTGACTCCAATGTGCCAATGGTGAACTATCTTAGAGCCTATGAGAAGATAAACGCAGCAAAGCAGCAGGAGCATCTTCTCCATACTGGGAGGTCATATGAGCGAATTAGAAGCTACGACAAAATACCACTTGGTTAAAAACCAAAAACTAAAGAAGACTTAAAGTAAAAATTAAACTGTACAGAAAGGGTTATCTTCTGTTGAAGAGGAGTGTTTACAAAGAACATTTATCAGGTCAATATTAGGGAAGTTAAGAGAAGTTACCTGTTTAGACAGTGCATGAATCCCAAAGAGGTGGGAGGCAGATAGGAAAGTGAGTAATGATTTACTAGAAAACCACCAGCTTTAACTTTGAAGTATTTCAATAGAATATAAGATCCCTTTATTGTACCACAATCGGGACAATAAAGCAGTGGTGACACAAATGTGGACCTTAAAAAGTGTATAAAAATAACAGAATAAGTGGCAGAGTTAAAAAATAAACAAATAAAATACTGTACTGTATAGTGTTTTTACAAATATAAATACAGTGCAGTCATCTGAATAATCTATAATCAATATACTTTACTTTTAATATTTAATATTTAAGGTAACAGCTACAAGTTTACCTTGTCCAGGCCAATAGATGGCACACTGTCGCTAGCCAGCTCTCGTTCTGCATTGTTTGTCAGCCAGATGCAAGAACCATTAATGCTAATACTAACAAACAAATCATCTTACAGTTCGGCAAGCACCATGTAGAATCCGAGCTGTTTTGGTTAAGTTAGCACAGACAATGTGTACCCCACCTCTTGCCCGTAGACAGCTGGAGATAGGCACCAGCAGCCCTGGTGACACACTATGGGGTAAGTGTGATAGAAAATGGATGGATGGATGGATGGATGGATGGATGGATGGATGGATGGATGGATGGATGGATGGAACTGAAAAAATGTCATGTAGAGAAGAAACCATTTCTTAAAGCCATCATGGTACAAGTCAATGATGGCTGTCAATGCCTGAGCCCTGTCTTCATGACTGAAACTAACCATTCCCTATTGGTGCACAATCCTTTCATGTCAGCGTTGCCGTTGTAACCAGAAGCAAATATTTTGTATTTTGGACCAATCCATTTTTATAAAACATCAGATTTGATATACCATACTTTTTCAGTCAAAATTAATAGATTAATACTGCATCACTACATACATTTTGCAGGTGTGTTATTTTTGAAAAATTTTTCGTTTTGATGAAAAGGTTGTAGCTATAATCATAAAAAAAAAAAACGAAAAGCAAAGAGAAGGCTCAGTATTTATTTTTTTAGGTAGTTTTACCTCCAAATATTGTTAAAAAAATAGAGTGAAAAAGTTAATTCCTTATACATATTTTATGATAGTCTAGTTTAGTTAAGCCTTATTTTAGTTTGTTTCATTCTAATAAGATGTGCCACTCTCTATGTAGAGGTGCTTTAGATAAAGAGCCACATGTCCCTTATAAAAGAAAGTTCTAAAGAGTAGCAGACCAGTCATCTGGTGTTGAGTAACAAGTCCAGTTAACTTTCCACCTGGTAAATTTACTCCTTAAGTTCAGGGTAATTTTTACAAGTCTGCTTAACATCAGTCAGTTATTTTTATCCTTTTTTTTTTTTCTGAAATTGATTCATAGACTTGGAGCCAAATATTCAAAGAGGAACTGTAGCACAATCTGTTCATGGCACACTATAAATAAACAACCATCATGCCACATGCAGACTCTCTATATATGTTTATACCAGAGGCCACAGAGTCATTGCAGCTTAAGTACATGTAAACAGTTATACGTAAAGTGACAACAACCTGTTGCACTGTCTTACTCTTTTCGATGAGTTGTGGATCATTGCAAGTAATTTGGGGAATTATTTTTTTTGCCAATCAGCAAATTCAAAAAAAGTGCACTGAGCTATCATGAAACCAGCTTTTAAACACAATCAGAAATCCTTTCAAACTGAAGATTTCACCAACAGAATCAGTGACAGGAAATGCAAGAGTGGGTTACATTATTTTTGAGGAAATAAAAAGCCTAAACAGTTTAAACAGGTACAGAGACCATTGATAAGCAGCTTCAGATCTTGGTGGCAGATTCAATTTGTGAAATTAACATTTCTCTTAAGTTAATGAACTTCTCTTGTCCTTGATGTGCAGTGAGCCCATGATGGCGTATGTAAGCACTCATGAGGTCCGTGTGAACAGGAGGCAGTAAGAGCTGCAGATAAATATAAGTTCACATGGAATGGATCAAAAGGAGAGGTGAAGCGGACTGAGCTGCAGCAACAGGCCTAACGAGTTCCCCAGGTCCACAGGATGGGTGCTCGGCATGTTTTCACACACAAAGCTTGAATTCCAGAGCAAATCTCTACAGCAGTGGAAGGTCTGAAACTTTGAGTTCAAGGGAAAGCCACATCTCTGTTGGAAAAACTAATGCAGACCATCTGCTGCCGTACCATCTTACAATTCAACATCTGGTAGAGAAGGAAGTAGTGAGCAATGCTGGTGTCTGCTATTCCAGACATTTATGATGAAAATCAGGCTATTCTTGTTCTCCTACTGTCTAAGTGGGCCTCTGATTAAAATAAAAAGTTTAAAAAAAAGAAGAGCTGCTGTATGAAAGAAAGAATGATTAAAAAAGTATATTGTTTATGTAAGCTAGAAGTAATTTAAACATCAATCCACTTCTCAAAACAAAAACAAAAAAAGAGGGCTTTTTTTTTCCTTTCCTTGAGGCAACCTGACCTCCAGGTTCAACATAACACTTAAGGTGAGAGTCTAAAGCTGGTCTCTGTCCAATGTGTGTTTAAAAATGAAGCTGTATTAAAACCTGTCCTAAAGCTTCAAGTTGCACAGGTTGAAATAAATGGGAAACCTCTCAAACTGCTTCCTAAGCAGGAATTATTAAATCTATGTACTTTTAGTCTGTATAGCAAGAGACGCAAATCTCTTTATAGATAATACAAGCTGGTGTAGTTTTTGTCAAAACACCACTGAGCAACAAACAGGCTGCTGGGGCTATAGGTGTGTCTGCTGCTGTGCAGAGGATGGCATCAGGCTACCAGGAAAAACCTGTCTCCAGGTTATGCACCGTCACACAACAGGCTTTTTCACATACTGTACACACTCCACCTGACAGACTCCCCGCCTGACCAACCGGTTTGCTCAAAAGCAGGCTTGATGCACCTGACTCAGGCTTTTTTTTTCTTCTTTACATCAAATACATCAGGGTGTCACTCAAGTCTGATAATTAACTAGGGTCAAATACTTTCCAGTTTAATTCACTGCAATCCCACAAAAAAAGTTATCTACTGTCAGAATATAAAGATCAATAAAGCAGCTAAATATTTATTATGGATAATACCTGCAAACTTTAAATTCTGAAACCAACAACAAAACAACCTAAACTCATAAAGGCGTATGGGTTGAAATGTTTTACTCATATCCGTGTTCAGGAATTGGCTGCATTCAGACTTCAAATAAATAAATAAAAAAAGAGTAGGATCTTTTTCTCCAGTACTTCTGGGCAACATAATGAGTCTATAATAACTACTACTTTAAACAGCTGGAACCAAAACTCACCATCCTCTAATTTCGCAGCAGTCCCACTCTGTCGTATTCCCACAATCCAGTATTTGTACGAAACTCGGTGAGGATCGATCTCCTTAAAAAATATTAAATAAAAAAGTCTACAGATTTAACTTAAAACCAGAGAAGAGAGTCCAACTTTACAGAAGTAAGATAAGCAGCATGGATGCAGGTTTTGTCAGCGTTGTCCTCCGTCCATAGTGCAGTCCCTCACTGACAGCCAGCCAGCAGCGGAGCAGCGGCTCTGGAACATAACACAGGAAACTGAGCCGTAGGATCCAATCAAAGGGAACCCAGCGAGCGCTGCCTTTAAATATTCAGCACGTTCTGGGAGAGACTCTGGTGCGCATGCGCGAAGGTTCAGCGGGATTTCAGCGTCATCCCAGAATGAGATTCATTTCAGCGTGAAATGTTGTCATGCCGTGAGAATGGGAGAAATCTGGTTAGTCGGGAAAATAGCCTTCTCTTTATGTAATGGGAAGGGGAGAAAATGCTATAGTTAGTATGAGAACATCTACGGAAGAGGATTACTGAAAAAAAAAGTGAACTGATTT